TTTAATGTCTCCTGACACAAAGAAAAACTGTTGAGAGATTTTTTTTCATTGTTAAATTTCTCCTCTGGGGGTTTGACATCTCATTTTACCCGTGCAAGATGCACAAATGGCTTCAGTTAGAAAATGGATTTCAGTTGCCAGTACATTTCAGCAAAATTGGTGAATAAAGTAATTGAATTTTGTGATGGCACAAGACCAAAACCATTGCTTTACCTCACCAGCCTGTGGGTGCCAGTTTTGCTGTGATCACAATGTGTTCTGAATGATCTATGCAGAAAAAACCCCCAGAATGAACAGAGAGAAGTTTATGGCTTTCCTGAGAGGCACTTTTCCAACTTAAAAATATAAACCCTGTGGTTTTCATGGTTTTGAACTGTAACCACAGACATTGAGAACTGGAAAAGATTTGATTTACGGTCACCCTGCTTTTATTGCCAGACTAAGGAAGTGGGTTTATTTTCTTAATTAAAAAAGTTAAATGCCTTTGAATTAGTGTTTAAAACAAAAGTTTTTTAATGTGAATTTAGTGCTTGAGGAAAGTACCTGATGGGGGGCCGGGGGGAGAAACCAGGTTGGTTGTACCTACACAAAGCAGGTGCAGAACACCGTTCTCCCCAAGGGCTTCACTAAGGTATTTCCATTTATGTCAGGGAGGACCTGTCCTTGTGGTCGGAGGTTCTGGGGTTGCCTGTCACTTCGCACTTCTTTGGAGCCCACGAAAAAGGATGCACCTCAGTTACAGTGAGGTATATGTGTGAGAGAGGGGTGGTGAAGGGGGAGAGGGACGGAAGTGTGGATACCTGTCCTTTGAGAATGGGATGAGATCACGAGTCCCAGGGCAGTGACAGAGCACACAGGTGCTCATGGTACTGGACTCTGCTGCCCACTCCTCCCATTGGATGCATGGCTTAGAGCAGGGGTGGGCAATTATTTTGGCTGGAGGGCCACTTAATGCATTTTGGTGAGCTGTCTAGGGCCACACACACAAAGTCTTGGACAAGATACCATTTTAACAAATTATACATAAAAAACCAAATCATGTACTATACTATATTTTAAGTTTATTTAAAAAATAATGTTTGTCCTGATTTATGGTTGTTTTGAGTAGTGTGTACAGAGGCAATTGCATAATAGTGGTGCAGAATAAAGTGTTTACTCTTGTATATTGTGTGTGGAATGGGAAGTGTGTGTGTGGGGTGGATATGAGTGTGGGGGGGGGGTTAGGGGGGTGTGCACGTGTATGTGGGCAGCTGCCCATGCACTAGGTCCTGGGAGCCAGCTGGGGGTGGAGGGGAGGGGTAGGGGGTGTGTGCAGCAGAGCTCCCCTGGATGGCGCATGTGCGGCCTGCCTCTCCCCTGCATCCGGCCTGTGGCTGCCCCAGTGGTGCTTCTTGGGACTGAGCCTCACCTGCTTGCATCTACCCCACATCCACCTGCACTGCCTTGGCCCCAGCCAGTGCACGCAGCTTCCCAGCGGGGCTGGTGCCACAGCCACCTAGGTATTGCTAGACTCCCCCTGCCTCCAGTGGCTCTTCCTCCTCTGCCTGCCCCTGCAGGTAACAAGGGAGAGCCATAGGGATGCGTGCTGGGCAGCAGATACCCAGCCAGGCGGGAGGAAGCTTAAGCTGGGTGGTCCTGTCCCAGCATGTGGGGCTCTAGCTTCAGCTTCTGGCTGCCCTTCTACCAATACCTAGTTGGTCACTCCCATTCTAGAAGCATAGGACTGGAAGAGATGTCCTTGGTCCACAGATCCAGTTCCTTACTGTCTCTAGTGATTAGTGTCATCTAATCATTTGGATACATTTCTCAAGCCCTCCCTTAAAATGAATGAGATTTCTTTCCCCCACTACTGGTGTTGAAATGCTGTAACAAAATATCACTTCCCTGATAGTTAAAAACCTTATTTCCAGCCTAAATTTTATTTTTTTTCCCTTGTTTTTATCACTTTTCTTTTTCTTAAATAACTCTTTATACTCCCAGGTGTTTTTCTGATCACCACTATATATAAAGAGCATTCATATAATTTCTCAGCCTTTGATTTGCAAGGCTAAAGAAGCCAAGGTCTTTTAATCTCCCCTTGGAAGATAACCCTCCATTTCCCTGATTATCCTAGAAACTGTTTTCTGCACCTGTCCTAGTCTGAATTCCTTTTCTGGTTAGAATTGCACAGCATATCCCACATAGGGTCTTAACAGTGGTGTTAATGTTTCCCTATCTTTGCAGTATATGTTTACCCCATGTATCCTAGGATTGCATTTGCCTTTCTGAAGGCCACATCACATCAGTGGCCCATAGTTGCTCTGTAATCAAGTAATACACCCAGGGCTTTCTCCTCATCAGTCATTTCTAACTGGGATCTCAGTTTATATTGGAAATTGTTTTGTTCCCTCAGTGTCCTTTCCTTTCCTTCTCGTGTCCTTGTGACAAGGTATTTAGCAGAACTTGCAGATTCTTTGGAAGCTGACATGGCCACTTCTGCTGTGGTCTCAAGTTTGCAACCATTAGGATGTCAATCGTGAGCCTTAGCACCTGTGCCACCCCGGCCCCCTCCCGCAATGTGTGATGTTATAGTTCTGCTGGCATCGTATTTCTATTGCTCTGCTCCTCACAGCCATCCAGTTCTTCCTGTATGATATCCCAGTCCTCCTCGGTATCAACACTGCCTGCCAGCTTTGAGTCATAAGTACGCTTATGCACCCTCCTTTTTTTTCTTTTTTTCCCACTCTGCATGTTGATTTCATGCTGCTGCTTCACTGTGCAGCAGAAGCCTGGTAGCAGGATGGGCAAGCAACAGCAAAAATGATTTGGCTGTCTGGAACTGTGGCTTAGTGGAGGCCCTTGAAAGCCAGGAGGTGTAAATGCAGGGGAAGTTCTGTTTGGATTCTGCGGTCTGCTGGATGGAGCAAATCTGAAATGTTACCTCTACAAAGTGACACTTGCTGTTATCTCATCTACAGTCCTTTCATTTTCTTTTTGAAGTTGGTGTGCACCTGAGATTTCATCATATAATTTACCCTGTATCTGGGGAGATGAGTAGATAGTCTAAAGAAGAGCTGGTGTAATGTAGAGACACAGTTTTCATGTCACAGTTCCACCTATGTATTGAAACACTAGTGAGGTTTTCTGTCAATTGTAGGAAAATTTAGGTAGGAAAAAAATCACCAAATAAATCATTTGTTTCGATAATGGGGATGTGGAATACTTTTGTCAAGTTTAACAGTTGGCTTTATGCAAACTGAACTGCTAGTTTCCTAACTGTTTGTTTTTTCTATATCATCCCAAATTGATCAATATATTCATGGTAGTTCTGATTTGCAATGAATTGTTAAATGCTGTGGGCTAAATTCTGCCCTTTCGTATGTGTGCACAACTCTGGAAATCATTGGGGTGGGGGGAAGTATGCTTATTTGCACACTAAATTTGGCTATCTGTTATTATTTCTTGAGAAATATAATTTTATTCTGGTTGAGGTTTTTTTTTTCTTAATTGTTTTTAAAGATGGAGCTAGGGAGTGCTTCCAGCTTTCCAAAAGACCTAGAGATGATCTAACATATTACGTAATCAGTTGTAAATGTGCCTGCTTCTGGCTGTTTGTGTTATCCTAGAAGGAACTCCATACTGGGAATACTAGTAGAGGTGAAACAGTGCTGTTGGTTCTACATGCAGTATATTGGCTGCTTACAGTATTTTATAAATATCACATTTTACTATATAGCCAGATTGAGGCAAAGCCTCTTGCTCAAAATAACTATCCTGTGGTTGAAATTGTATGCTAAGATAGTCTCCCTTCATCTTGAGTTCAGTTATCCAAGATTTATAGCATCCCAAGGGTAATTCAATTGGAGGCGTCTCTTTTTCAACTTATTTAATTTTTATTCTTCTACATGAAGGGGCACTTAATGTAAAAACAGTGCTGTTTATGAATCCACAATCAAATTATACTAAAGGATAGCTTTGAAACTTTAAATTAAACTAGCTAGGTACAGTACTAGACACTAATAAAAGATTTTCCTTTAGCCTGTGCTAATTAATGCAAAAATTAGTGAGTGCATTCTTATGAAGCAAGCAGAGATACTGAGAATTTGATTGTTTTTAAATTAAATACACCTAAATGTTGACTATTCAGGAAATGTTCGCTTCGAGTGGTTTGATAAATAACATGGAAACGTTTCAAATACTTAAAGACTCTGTGTTTATAGCAATTCTTTTTAATAAAGAAAGCTTGAAATGTGACTGCGATTATTATTAGTTTGTTCTGTGATATGCCCATCCTGTTGTTTTGTGTTGCATTTTTGTGTTGCATATTGTCATCTCTTATCCTCTCAGTAAATGGTGCTTTGCCAGAACTATGTAAACGCTGGGCGGGCGGACTCCGCATGAGAACTGTAATAACACAAACCAGTGAAGCTGGAGCACAGTGCCCAGGCAATTATTGCCATCTGACAGAATCTCTCCTACAGTTAGCAAGCAAATGAAGGGTGGTTTCCAAATGAATTCATCTGCTTGTGTCTCTTGTCTGAATGCTGGGATGATGTCAAAGCCATTTTAGCGAGCTTTTACTGATTGTCCTTTCTAAACCATGCAACCAACTAACTCTTTTAAGGGCATTTTGTTGTTATTTAAAAAAATGGATAGATCAGTCTAGTGCTATTTGCTGCACGACTGTTAACATGGTATAGTTGCAAATATATCCAGAGAGCTTTTAAGCATTCAAGTGCAAGGGGGTGGGTGTATTTAGTTAAAGCTATGCATGGGTGATGTCTCTTGTTTAGTTAGGGTTCCAGAGTGAGGGATTTTAGCACTTTAATCCTGACTGACAGTTGGAGGGGTTGGTGGTTTCAAACACTGTGGCATGGAGTGGCTGATTCTTCTTCTGCAGAACAATGTACCAGTGTGTCTAGGCTGCCTGTACAAAGGCAATAAATCTGTTTTGTTTTGTTTTTCTCCCCCTTCTCTCTCTCTTTCTTTCTCTCTTCCCCCCCTTCTCCGTTTCCCTCCAGGCCAGGACCCACTCCTATTGCTGAAAACCCTTCAGTCTCTTTGGACAAAGAAAGAGATGAAGAAGGTAAGGCTGTATAGTGAACCTTCCCTTCACACTGCAGCTAATAACTGTATGCAGAGCATGTCCGTCCTCAGAGCACTTGGGTCAGACCTGCAATTCTTCATGAATGCTTTCAGTTCCAATACATAGGGGAAGGATCTACACATTTGCAGTTGAAGGGGAAATAAAAGGCAGCCCTTTCCAATGTGCCAGAGTTATGGGAGATGCATAAAAAGGCTGCAGAACACAGGGCCTGAGTTTAAAAAAATTGAAGCTCAGCTTTTCTTCTAAACAATTTTTTGTCCATTAAATATGTAGAATGAGTAAACTGAAGATTTAAGATCCTGCCTCTTCTTTATACTTGACAAAGGAGTGTTGAAATCACCCAAGAAGTTGCTCTTTGCTAAGTGGAATGATACTTAGACCTGCATATTTTATGCCTTTTTACCTCCCCCCCCCCTTTTTTTTTTCCGTAGCTCTTCAGAGCACTTTGGTCTGTGCAGAGTTATCGATATATTTTTAAATGGCCCTATGATTCTGTGGTTCTATGTATTTATTTTTCACAGGAATGAACTACACATCATGAACATTTGGGAACTCGAAAACAACCCAAAAGCAAGCCATGATTGTTCCCCATGCTTAACTATCCCTGTTACCTAGGCAGGTTGATAGCAGACTTGTTTTTCTGAAAGACTGGGAAACTTGGAGCATACTATAGTGTCATCCTGATTTACTGACTGCAGTCATGACAGTGCCCAAAGAATCATAGTGTACGTGCTACATTCTAGCTGTATAAAATCCTCAGTCATCATACATGGCTGGTGTGCTTCAGACTTTCCGCTACTTCTGGCTTGGGGTCCCCAGCCTGAACAATTGAACAACTGGAGAGACAACATTAAAGAAATATCTTTCTGAGTAGTCAGTTACTGACAGACTAGAGCTCAGCATTTATGAAGCCTCAGGCGATCTATCAAATTGTGCTAGAGCAAGAGGAAAACATTAATTGTTAGGTTTTGAGGACAGCTTATTCCACCAAAACAATAGGGGAAAATAATCATCCAGATGTATGTGCTGTGTAAATTGGAATTAGGGTGGGTTGTAAACCAAAATGTTATGAAGAAAACCCCAAAGCCTCCCATCAGAGTGTCTTAGGCAGACTGCACCACAGGATTTTTGTTTTGTGGAAAAGGGAGAAATTTAAGGATCTCCATGACTCAGCCAGGTTCCTGCATATCTGTCATTGTATCACCCCAGCAATGTCTGTGAATTCAGATGGCTTGTTATTAACCCATCCTGATTAAAGGGTAAAAGACCCCTTACAACGATAAATGTGCTTTGTACACAGTATATTGATTTGCATTGCTGCAGGCAAGCCTAGCCTCATAGACCCCCACCACTCACTGCTCTTCTGCATATATTTCTGTACACACGCAAGGGAACTGCTTCTCTGTGAGACTGGAAGATCAGCCCTTGAACCAGTGGGAAAATCATTAGCATATACGAGGAGGGCACTTTCAGAGGCAGGGAAGCAGGGCAGTGACAGCTGATTATGAGACTGACATGGGGAAAGTAAACGATGTCCTCATTGATTTATGATACACACTTCCCTTTTGCAGTTGTTAGTGTGTTGTTGACGTGCAGTTGGAATAATCCATCTTTTGGAGACATTTCCTGCCTCCAGATGTGTAGTGTGCTCCCCTTTCCATGTGAAGGTAAAATTAAATAGAAAAAGACCCTATCTGAGGGTGAAAGAAGCCATACATTTGTAACTCATCTCCCCATCTGGTTATACCATATTCCAAGCTGAGAGAACATGCGGCTGTATCACTGTTTCAGATATAATGATTTGACACAAAGTGACCCTTATGCTTAGTTTTGAAGTAAATGCATTGATTTCAGTTACTCCTGCAGTAAAATTTAAAATGAAACTAGTTCACCTTCTGTTTAGTATACAGTGGCCTGGGGTAACTTTGCAATGTAATTCCTATTAATGCTAAAGAGCAGTAATTACTTCCGTTTACCTCCTTTACCTCACTGGCCCATGCACATTGTAGAAGAAGTAGATTTTTATGTTTGCCTGGGACCCCAGTTCAGCAACATAGTTTTAAAAATTCAGTGATTTATTTGTACGAGTGATATCAGTTTAATTCAGGGCAGTGATCAGCAGCATTCTCTTTTCCCCTCTTTTTTTTCTCGTCTACGTGTAATCTGAATATCAGCAAAAACTACCCTAACCATGTGATCTGCAGGACGAGAATACTGTCCTAAAGAGGGTGGTCGAAGCTCTGATGTGTGAAACATTGATGCATCAGCAGTAAATATATTCTGGGGAGGAACTTTCTGATCAGCGTATGCCATTTATCACAGCCACAGATCACTAGGGACTTTAGACACTTTTCCCACTGCTTAGAAAATCTAAGTGATCCCTAATCAAAATTTGATCTAGATACATTGCCACTGCTGCCCTTGCCACTTTTACAACCGTTCTGAGGTATTTGTGTATGAAAGGGGGCTTGCGCTCTTGCAAGGCTATTGTCTGCTGTAGCCAATACTGCCAAAAGCCCGGATTCTGACTCCAGCTGAAGGAGAAGCAGAGCTTTATGGAGAATGCTCTTGTTCAGACTCAAATGAGCTGAAGTGGGGCTTTGGAAAAAGAAACCGTTTATGCACAGTGTGCAGCTTAGTTGGCTACTTGTTTTGTTTTCCTTTGGCTGTTGTATCAGATATTTGTGGTTGAAGAAAAAAGTCTGTTCCACTACAGCCCATCTTCTTCTTCAGTTGAATCTTGCAGCTAGGTTAAAATCCTGTGTTTGACATCATGATCTCTTGCCAAAGGGGAAAGTACTTGGGGAGGGGGGATGGAAACTCCTGTCTAAATGCAAATCTTTGTTCATCAACAGCTTTGTTCATGTTGAAGTTGATAATCCAGTAAAAGAGCTATTTATTGGTTTGTGCATCAGTTTAGATTTATATTTTTGGTGATAAATTTCAAGGGTTTCCCAACACGAAAGGGGAATATGGAGAATTCTGGCTAATGGTTAAAAAAAATAAACCCACTGGCAAATTTTCTTTACATGTCCCTTTGTTTTCCATGTCATTCTTCACTCTCTTTTTTATATTGTTTTTGTTGGAAGCTACAACTGGGACCATCATACAGTAAATTACTAATGCTGGCTGCAAGCAAGAATGAGCATCTTTTTGGATTTGTTTCTTAGCCAGAAAAAGGAGAGAGAGCGAGCAGCTGCTGTTAGTGAATTCTCCTCTTCTGTCTCTGCCCTTCCCTCGCTTTACACCAGTACATGTACCATGTGGTGAAAGGTCCTGTGTGTGGGTACTGAAGGATGCCACTTCTTCACCCTGCCAACCCTCTGAGCTCCTTGGAAACTATCTGTAATGTAAACATTATAAAGATATTGCTTGGTACTGCTAATTTATCACTTCTACCAGATGGATAGTAAGTAGCCTATTAACATTCACAAAGTGAACATTCAATTCCTTCCTCCTTCTAAACAGATCACCCCAGAATTCCTTAGATTTACAGCATGGATTTTTTTCGATGTTCAAAGTTTTTGATGACATGTACATTGTCAACTCTAAAATGGCAATGGGTAGCCAACACCAAATACCTTTCCAGTCTTTATAGCTTTGGAAAAAGGGAAATTTGTTTTACAAAAAGGTAGCCTGAGGTTTCTTGGAATCTGATATTACGTATTTTATTCCTTTATTTGAAACCCTAAGGAGTTCAGTGTCCTCACATTATCTAGGGTAGTGTAGAGTATGGCATATTTGTGGTTGATTTGGTTAGGGGACAAATCTGGAAAGTTATGGTGCGGGAATAAGCAGCTGAGCATCATCCATGTCCTTAAGTGTAGGTATGTTGGAAAAGCAGATATCAGAGCTCATAAATCTTCCTGTCTTCACCGTCTCCACTTCTGTGATTAAATACACACGCACACACATACTTTTTTTATATATATCCTAAGTCTCTTTGTCTGTCTTGCAGCACAACAATTCTGTCTTTGTGGGATAATTAGTGTGGACAATTGCTGTTTTTCCCATTGGGTTTGAGGTGCAGTGGGCCATGAAGGAATCTGTAATGACATGAAAAGTCACTGAAGGTGCCGATGGTGGTTGAATAGCAACAGTTACCTCTCTGAATAGATTAAATAATAAAAAAATCTTTGTGTTCAGCTGGGAGAAGGGAGGATTCACTAATCTTTTTGTACATGACAATGTGTTTTGTGTATCTCAGCAGCTCAAGGAAGAAACCAGGCGGGGCTTTGCAGGTCTGGAAGACCCATTGGCAGGGCTCTTGGACATGCTGGAGAGCAGCAGTGATTGGAAGGGGAAAGGGCACTCCCTTGGGTATTACATCACCAATGAGTTGCAGCTTTGGATAAAGGAGCATCCCGCTGTTCAGCAGGTTAGAGAGAGAAAGTGACTGAGCCTGGAGAAAAGAGAGATGGATTGATGTAGCGTTTAATGTCCCTGAACTGCCCCCCTTTCGTTTTATTCCTGTTCCTTTCCCCTAGTGCTGCCTATAATCACAATGTGACCTGCTGTTGGGATTCATACTGAGGCACTCAGCTCCAGTGATGCCATCCTGAAAGTGAAACGTTGCCAAGAGCAGTGATGCTAAAATACCTTCCTATGTCTTTCTCTCTAAGCCGAGATTTCCATCTCCTCAGTTGAAGCTGCTTTGATGGAACATGGCTCATTCAACCTTTCCCTTGGCTGAAAGCCTTTCTGCTGGAACTGATGTTTCAGCTGACAACAGGATCCCAATCACAGTAGTTTATGTTACGTACACAAACTATTCCAGTTTGCAAATAGAAGACAGTTGCTATAAAACTATTTAATTTGCCAGATTGGTGGGTGCTTCTGTCATCCAGAATGTACAGACTTGTAATGATATGGTTCTGAATTATCAAATGATAAGCTTGAAGTTATGGGGTCCTCAGATTGAGTGCTATTCCATTCTCCATGTCCACTTTTCTTCTGACCTTCTGAGGTTTTCCCAAGGAATGTTATTTGTTACCTCTGAGGTTTTGGCTTCTTTTATCTTCGTGTCTGCATTTGGGAGTTCTGCTGTCTTTTTCAGAGCCCTGAAGATCTATTTTACTGCCTCTGCAGTTTGTTGTAGGAGAATTAATGCAGGACAGGAATTGTCTGAATTATTGTATCACTGGATTCTGGCATTAGCCTTTTGCTCCAATACCACTCCATGTTTCTAGAATTTTTCTGCTAGGAATTGGAGGTGTCAATGTTGCAAATTTAAATGAGAGGGGATATTTCCCCATGCTTATATTTTGATTTTTGCACAGGCCCATTTGGCTCACCAAGGGCTACTTCAGAGACAATTTGATAGTTTTAAATTTGGCTGCTGTGAAGTAATGTATGCATTATAGGGCACGTTGTCTCAATTTCTGTGTGAACTCCATGGGAACATTAGAGAACCAAGGAATTAGCTTGTTTGCTGTTTTAAAAAACTACATTTTGGACTGCCATTGAGTAGTTGCTGTCTTTATTAAACCTGTGTTTGACTATTTTAGACTGGCTTGAAGTTGAAGAAGCTCCAGGCCCGAGTGTTCAGAATAGTAGTCCAGTGCCAACCTAATCTCATTGATCCACTTATCAACATTTATCAGCTCCTTACAGCAGACCGGAGCTATCTGCTTGGACACGTCAGTCACCTTTACTACAATGGCAAGTACAAAGAGGTGGGTCCTGTCTTTTTGGCTTGATTTACACATCCGCAGCCCTAATTCTGCATATATCTCTGGACCAGCTTGTTCTGTTTCAGTTTACAGTTCTGCCACTTGGAGTGGTGTAACTGAACATGACCTAGTGCTTGGGTAGGTTTGGACTTGATTTTCAATGGGAATATGCCATAATTTACATTTTCAGATGAAAATAAGGCAAGACTTTTGTTTTTCCTTAAAGGGAGACGCTTCATTTTAAAGCAGCCTATCTTCATAAAACTAAGAATTAAAAATATATGTCTCATTTGGTGTTACAACAACTCTTGATCTCACAATAGTCAGAGCTCCAGCATCCCAGCTGAATGACCTCTCAACAACACATCCAGGACGTTTTGCACTTGCTTATAAGCTATACATTCCCGGACAGGTCAAACAAATAAGATATTGGCCATGTATTGAGGATTTTCTTGCTGTTTGTTAGAATTTGGAGCCCTTGGTGTTGGAAAATAAGGGGGGGGGGCAGAACTTGACTCTTTTAAGTACAATTGTAAATAGAATTGTATATGACACGTGAAACTGAAGAGACAGAGATGGCTTTTCATTAGTCTCTTGGAAGTGCAGACCTGGAAAGCTCCACATGTTTCTGGAGCTGTTTTTCTCCTGTATTTTCCCTGCCCTCTACGCTTATCTAACAGGGAAAAGTGGGATCTAAGAAGAATTGGATAAGGCTTTTTTTTGTCTTTCCCGGTACTATTTATGGCATCTCAGAGAAATTTGATTTCTTATACCCATATTTTAATCCTGGTTATACTATACCAAAGAATGATTTGGAGGTCTTGCCTTATGCCCTCCAAGATGGACTGAAGTAATGGCATGTGACAGGAAATCCTTTATTCCCATTTGGGCTAAACCTTCCCTATAAGCACTTTAAATAAAAATAACAGTGAAATAGGACCTGGAATTAGGAGTGTGGGGCATCTGGCACAAGCCCTAGTATGTCTGTATCTTGAGGGTTCTTCTAGTTTTCAGATAGGACAGTAATGAAGATCCAGGTGTAGGCTTCTTGGCTTCCCTTTGTCAGACCTTGAGTCTTCTGAAGGTTGAAATTCTTGTCATTTCATCTCATTCTGTCCTTTTGCTGTCTCCTTAGTTTAAGCCCAGGGGGTTAGTATTAGAATGGCATGCAAGCGTTTCATCTTTTACCTTAGTGTAACATATTCTTCATAGTCCAATTTTCCCATGCACAGATTTTTTACAGCTCTGCAACCTTGTCTTATGTGTTCAGGTCCTCTCACAAGTCTCTCAGTGTTTCTGCAGACTACGAGGTCCCTGAGGACTGGTGTGGTTGCTATTTACTTCTAAAGCAAATCTAGCCCTTCCCATGTCTTTCAGTATTAAAGCTACTCAAAAGGCTGAAAAAGTTTGTTAATCAGAATAATAGTCAGATTTATTGTAGAGTGAAACAGCTTCTTGGGATTTATGAATGTTGGGGCATCACCTCAAGTACTGAGAGATACATTGTCTGTAGTGAAAGTGGGGGAGGACAATTAGTAAATGGAAGACAGGTCTTGGAGCATATAAAGATAACCCTATTTTTGCTGGCAGATGTCACAGGTGTGACCAGTTCTTACTGTTTTTAAAGAGTACTGGCGGGGTAGATGCATTCTCAGAGGTACCAGTTGGGAAGGAGATGACAAGGTAAGCCTAGTGAGCCAGAGGATGTCACTGTTGCACCCAAGACAGTCAGAGCTGCATTTTTCTGAACTAAATAAGATGACAATTAAAACAAACGCAGAAGCTTTAGCAGTGACTGTTGGAGGCCTTTGGCAAGTCTTTGTGCATCTCTCGGGTCTGTTGTTTGTGGGTGTTTATCCATTCACTGCAGCTGCAGGTGGAGTGCAGTACTGTGACTCCGGGCAGTACTACGGGTCTGACAAAAAGGAGCTTGGGGCTACGTCTACAAAATGCGGATCGTATCTAAACAAGCGGGACTTAAAATGTCTGTTTATATAGTACTGACAGGGGTGCCTTTCCCCTTCCTTGTATAGCTGCTGTCTTGAGCCAAGCACAGTTAGAAGGTGAGTTTCATTGGTCATCCTGAACCAGGCATTAAGCCACCCATCTTTACTGTATTTGACTCGCTGCCATGTTGAGACTTAGTCTTGGACAAAATGTAGTGCACAACATGTGTTGTGCAGGACTTCAAGTCGCTGATAACATTGTAGGCTTTCATAACCCTTTTTCTTGAACTCTCTCTGTTTCGGTGTTGGTGACTGGCTTTATGAAAACCAAGATGGCCGCTGGTACTTTTTAAACAATGATGGAATTCAGCAGACCAGAGGCTAATATAGTGCGATGCTGTTCTGTGAAGAGACTCTGAATAGGCCAGGCTGTGCTTTAGAAGAATGAGGGGTAGGCAGAAGGCAAGCTAGTGTTTCATGGTCATCTTATGTTACACTTCAGCCTTTCAAAGAGTGTCTGGGACTGGTTGAATGAACCTCTCTTGCACTCCAAATGCAGGAATCTAAAGACAAAGGAGACTCTTGTCACTTGCAGGCCCCTTTAGCGAATAAAAGCCATTGTCACATGAACAGGGGCAGTCTGGCAGGCTGTGCATGCTTCAGTGCCCCATGATATCGCTAAGTCTCAGCAGAAATCACATTCAGGGCCCTGTCAGCTTTGATTAGCGGGGTCTCATGACTTAATGTGCTGCGATATTTCATGTCTAAGGGTGGCGGCTGTCTTTCTGTGGGATGAATGCCCTCTATTGTCCACTGAGTTATTTTATTTACATTTTTTAAACAGCTTATAAAGGTAAAAAGATAGCTGTGCTTAAAAAAAAATCAAATTCCTTTGCTTCTGAATCAGTAGTAAGTGCTTCAAGGGTCAGATACAGTGAAACTTGTTTTCTCAATTGGCATCAAAGTTCTGGTCTTGTTTAACAGCTTTATATTAAATTCTGAACAGGTGGCAGTGGAGCTCAGTTTAGGAAGGAAACAATAAATAATCTTTTTAGCCTTTGACAACCAGAAATATTCCTGGTCCTGAGAGAACTCCCACTCAAAGCTCTCTGCATTAGATACTTGGGACATGGGGTTTTTTCTTCATCTGTTTGTTTTTTGTACAAAAACATTGGGCTTAAGATTTAACAGGGACAAGGAAATATTTTTTTTAAATCTCATTTTAACAAATACATGCCCCCCTTCTCTGTTCATGTTTTCAAATGTTAACAAAAAATTCAAGATTTTAATAAGGTATAAAATTGCTTGCATAAATATTTTAGAGTAAACTAGTATTCATTACATTTTAACTAAACAAGATGTATTAATTGTCACTTAAGCTAATTGTTAACTTTTGAAATTAAGGAGAAAAGGCATTACATCATGCCATTCATTCATTTAAAATACACCTACCTTAAAGTTCCTGGGCAAAAGCTACATTAATGTGGAGCTCAGACTCGGAGTACATATCAGTAATACAGTGTAAATACCTTACTGAAATGGTTTATTTATTTTTAAAAAGAGAGCTAGAGAGTGAAAGAGAAAGCAAATATGATAAACCCAGGAAAACAAGAGTCAGTCTTAAAAGAAATCCAGAACATACGAAGATTCAGAAATGCATAGTGTCATCTCTGAAAAACTTTAACTCTGCTTTGTTGTGATGCTTTGCCATAACTATATGAATATATCCTAAATTTTACTGATTTTTTTTTTAAAAAAATGTACATAAGCAATAGTGCCACTAAAGGACAGAGTTAAGGTTGTTTGGGTTCCTTAATGGAATTACAGACAACAATATGTTCGGGTTTATTTTAAGTCGAGCCTTAACTCTGAATTTCCTGGATTGCTTGGGAGACCCTTAGAATATCCCTATAGTATTTTTTTTTACCATTAATTACTAATACGTCAGTCAACTTTCACTATACTGTAATTGCTTTTCTTTATTTATTGAAAATATTGCATATTTGATAAGAAAGTAAAAAATACTGGGTAATGTTTCTTATCATTTAATCATAGTAACATCGACTTTAAATCTCTCTCTTTAATTTTCTCTTCTAGGGACAGTGTCATTTCTCCTACAGTGTGTCCTGGCCATTTTGAGTCATCAGAGCAGCACAAGACAGCCAGAGTTTTAGCTCCAGTGTTCCTTTCCCACCTGACACCACATTCTCACATACATGAGCATGTGCATACATACACATATACACACACATCCACAGCCAACCTAATTTCCCTCTCTTTCCCAGTTTTCATATATCTCTGATATGCACACATCAAATTTCCCTCTCCTTCCAGCATCTTCTGTTTTCCCCTACTACACCAGTTTTTGCTCTCCTTTCCATGCATCATATTACCTTGAGCACACACTTAAACATACACAGGTGTGCTGTTTTCCTTCAGAGAACATCTAGTGCAACACCTCGTATTTTTTTGGTGGTGGGGTGATGCACAAGGGGTAGGGGTGAGGATTACTTTGGATTATTAGTTAAACTGTTGCTATGATATATATGGAAGTTTTAAAATTAATAAAATTAATGTACCACATCTCCTTTAAGGGGGAGAAAAAAGAATAATCTTCTCAAGATGCTCCTCCCTGTCCTTACCACCTCCCAGTCTTTCTATGTTTATGAAGAGTAGATAAATGCAAATGGCAGCCCTCTTTCTAAGGTCAGTCTGTCTACTCAGTTTTATTGAAAACCACAGAAGATGGTGGCTATTTTAAGAAAGGTACCTTAACTGAGAATAGGCTTTGGCCTCAACCTATTTGAAAACAATAGGAGATGACAGCAAAGCCAATGTTAGACTTACTTGTAGGGCCCCAAGCAGAATCTGAGCCTCCCTCAACCCAGCTAGGCATTTGTGGCTCGTACTAAATAGGACTTATGAGGCTCTCTATTGGTTTGAGGTCCCTAGGCAGCTGTTTTCAAAGAATGGTTGTAAAACATTTGTTTTCTAGCTACACCTGAAAGAGGGATCTTCATTTATGTAAAATAATAGGCAAAGTTGACCATCCTCCCA